TTTTTTCAGAAAGATTCGCGTCACATGTTCGCAGATCTGTAGGAGTGAGAGTTAAAGGAAGTTGTAAGGGCATATATATAAATATTTACACATATATAAATATTTACGCTTTAAAACTACATATACATGTGAAAGTTGTGTTCATAACATTCTGTTTTTATTAAGCAACACATTTTTATAGATTATTTATTTTATTTGATATTAATTTTATCGTTATAAACAAAAATTTTAAAAATAATAACAAAAATCTAAATTTTTTTTATATGTACACATATCAATGTTTTAAGTAAAATACTAAAAATGACTCATGCAAAGTTTCATTGAGATTCACCAATTAGTTTGTAACAAATAAATATTTTGTTTATTTACTGAATAATTAATGTCTGCATGTCAATGTAACTTTACATAAATATTTTTGAATTTATAAAATATTTATATATAAAAAAATTGAGATTTTTATCATTATTTTATAATACATTTTCATATATTTCTATTAGCGTACAAATTTAAAAAATATTATTTTTTATTGAAATAACTTTTGATCCAGATGATCAATTGTCTCTAATTTTCTTGTATTACTTTTAAATGCAATTTAGAATAATAATTTGTAATTTTTTCAAGTAATGCTTAACATATTGCATTTGCAATCTTAAAAGTTGCTCCGATCATTGTTGCGACGCAGTGAAACAGGACTCCACGTACATCGATCGTTAGATAAATTTTCAAGCGTCGTTAAATTTGATTAGATCACGATGATTGTTTTCATTGTTTCATTTACTTTGCTATCTTAATGCTTTGGACCTTGGCCAACATGTCTCAGAGACAAAGATCTTTAAATAAAAGGTGTTGTTTAAATTGTCTGGGACTTTCATCTTACTAACAGTGGAAATCTATTTCCACTGAGGCGGGATCGATTTATGTATGCAAGCTCGTTGACGCAGCAAATATTTAATGATGATTAATCATAGTAAATAAGCGTAAATAAGTACGCTGTAATTATCTCGAAACTTGACATACGAGTTGCTGACTTGAATACGAAAGGATAGAAAAAAGCGAAAATTATAAACGCGTTCTTACGGGTCATATGATTAGAGCTAGAACTAATCGACAGTACGTGCAACTTTATTATTTCTGTGTGTGTGTGTGTGTGTGTGTGTGTGTGCGTGTGTACGACCTTGACTTCCTTATGCACAGAACAGTTTTACTAAAGTTCTTAAAATTTTAGCTAGATACAAATCTGAAAATAATTATATTGGACTTTAAATAACCAAATTGTTAAGTTGATAATGTAAAATCCAATTTGAGAGTATCCATTATCTTTAATCATTTCTATAGATAGCCTATTGCTTCTATTCAATATATCGTTAACTAAAACAGTGGAGTTAAACAATTTAACAAAAGAAACATATTTGACACAAATTTAGCGTTTCCTCTTGGGATACACTGAGTGTAACCTCGCATTACACCAGTTGCGTGTAAGTGCTGCACTGCAGTGTACATACACCATGGTGTACACTACTGCACTTCATGCTATCGTGTTTAATTCTACTTGACGTCCATTTTCAAATTTTTAATGTCACACTGACTCTACACCGTCTCTTTGAGATGGTGTAGCAAAACCCCATTTCGGGCATAAAATTTGCACTACACTATATAGCCACGGAAACACATTACACTGAATGAGTTCGTCTACCACCAGCCAAGGAAACACGCTATCTGAGTGTTGCACTGAGCTATAGTACAGCCAAGAGAAAACGCTATTAGTTTATTAAATAATATAGACGTTGTTTATTTTGGAATTAAGCAATTCAATCACAGAAATGGATCGATTTACACTTTTATATACATGGAAAATAAAAATAACAAATTGTTATTTAACTCAAGGAATAAAATTTAAATTACTATTGAGCCTTTGATGTCTAATAGCACATTGAATATTTAGCCTAAGTAAAAAAACAAATATTACTATCGACACTTTGATATCAAAATGATGTTATTTAATTAAATGATAATGCTGCAAAAAAATGTTTATGTTTTAACGACCTTCTTCTCACTTAGCAAGTTGACGTTATTTGTTATCACTTTGGTGTTGAAATGACAAGTAACTCATCACTTGAAAAGCTTTGGTTGCTAGGATGTCAAAACGTTTTGCAACATTATCAATAAATATGTAGGTTGATAGTTCTGCATAATTATTTTGATAATACAAGATAATTATTTTGTGTGATCTGTATACTGTTAGATATCAAAGGACAATAATAACTCTGAATTCTACTCTTTGAGTTAAAAATAACATTTTATTATTTTTAACTTCCATACGTATTAAGATGTAAATCAATCCATTACATGCTTAGTTTCAAAATAAATTACGTTCATATTAACATATGCACTTCTAATTAGTAAATAATAAACTAAATTTGAGTCAAATTTAATACATTTATTGAATTAAACAAATTTAATACATTTATTAATTATTTAACCTTATTGTTTTTAATTAAATTAACGACGTATTAAATAGGAGCAGTGACCTATAGAAATGATTAAAAATAACTCAAATTGATATAAATTTAACAGTATATTTGACTGAATTTTTATATTTCAATAAAACGATTCTTTCCATGTAGGAATCGTAATAGATCGGTGTCGTCGTAATCAATTTACGCGATGTGCAGCTTCATTAGTTTAAGGCTTAACTAGATGTCTGGTACGATTTCTGCCTTGCGATAGAAGGTCTGCGTGTACATATGCCTACGTATACATAGGCTTGTCTCTTGGAGAAAGTCGCGTTGCCTGTCTTTATCTATACATGTCTACAGTTGCCGTTCTTTTCATCGCAATCTCTGCACGCGCGCACATATTTCCGAAATCTTCAAAGCTATCACGTGAGAGCGCTTTCAGTTCGAGAAAGCTTTTTTTTTACGCGCGGATTGGACGCTTGATTCAGTTTTGTAGTTCCGTAAACCAGTTTTGAAATTCTTCGAGATGTACTCTGTGTATTGCGAACGCGTGATAAGCAGCTAGATACAAAACTCGTTATTCTACGTCGAAATGTACAATCATGATGTTAAATGGCACATTAGTTTGAATTATTTTTAATTATTTCTATTTATACACAATATCAGATCACAACTCCTACTTAATTTGTCGTTAATTTAATTAAAATAATGGAGTTAAATAATTTTACTTGAGAAAATATATTAAATTTGACTCAATACAGTTTATTGTTCACTATAAGCAAACGTTAATGTAGACGTTGTTTATTTTGAAATTAACCACAGAAATGGATTAATTTACATTTTGACATACACATGAAAGTTAAAACAAAATATTATTTAACTCAAGGGGTTAGATTACTATTGCTCCTTTGATATTTATAACAGTATAGGAAATGCATTGTTAACTTTATTTAAAAAAAAGATGTTTTAACCCAACAAACAAGCTGATGTGATTTTGACTTCAAAGATGACATTTTGATGACATTTTGATGTCAAAATGATGACAAATAAATCAGTTTGTTTTCTAGAAGCACATTCTTGAACAATATCGCATATAAAAATATTGTAGTATACAATTACGTATATACATGTATATTACTCGAGGTTTCCCTAGTATCTTCGTACGTGATTTTTTTTAGAATAAATCCTCTGTATTAGAAATTTTTTATAGTAAAGAATAAAAGGAGCGTTATTGATACATTGACAAATAAATCGTATTGCAGCACTGCAAATAAAAAGCTACGCGATCAGACATCGCGTCGTGATTTTCGAACACGTGTTTTGAATCAGAATCGTCTCAAGAGCGACGCACTCATGCGTCGCATAAACGGTGTTTTTCAACGCGACATGAGTAGTTAAGTGCTTAAGAAAGTTAGCTGACGAGTGTAGGAAAACAATAGCGATTAAAATATTTATTTATATATCTAAATTATATATATAGATATATATATCTAAATAAATCTGAATAATATATCACTAAATAAGATTAGATATACATGCATTTCGGATGACTCATGTAATTACATGACATTATTTTGTCAAGGTCGTGATTATAATGTAACTACTTTTACGTTAAACATTTTGTAAACAGGAAAGAATCTTTCAGATATTTTTAAGCTTCCTTTAATTATTTTCTGATTGTGTGAAATTTGTTTTAAGAAATAAATGTGAGTGTCGTGTATGAATCGTATTAAGAGTTGATTGAGTTTATTGAGTTTTACAGTCATAAAAATATTTTTTTACTGTAAGCCCGTTCACAGTTTATCACTTATCACACAATAAGAGAAAAAATTGTTGCAACAATTATAACTTAATTATATAATTTATAATCATTTTTGTGCCAACTATATACTGTTTTTGTAAAACTATAAATATAATAATTATTATTACTAACATTGTAGCAACAATAATTATAAAAATGGAGTTTCTAATCATTATTATTTTATCATATAATTATTATCACAAATATCAAACATTTTTTTCTCTCATACTTAGAGAAAAAATGTAGCAATTACATATAAAGGTGACAACTATTCAAGTTTTTATATGTAGAATTAATACATAATTAAATAAACTATTTTATAATTATTGCCACTATAAAATAGTTTATTTAACCTTTTTTTTTGTATATTATGTCTACATATAAAATTCATCAGATAATTGCTATTACTATGTATTTCTCTGCACGGAAAAATCAATTTTGAAAATTTAAATAGATACAAATCTGAACATAATTTTGTCGGATTATCAAAATAATTATGTAAGAAACTCAAGCATGATGAGTAATGCTGCAAAAAATGACATTGTAGCAATTAGTTTGAGCGTCAATTATTTTGATAGTCAGACAATATTTATTTTTATCTGTATCTAAATTTTTTTTTGCTTCACAAAATCGTTCTTTCCATATGAATGCAGTGCATGACGCTCAAGTCAGTGTTTCTCTTCTGTCACGCATATTCATTATTTTTTCAACGTTGATACGACGAATCCTTGCAATCAACTCACATTTTCGCAGCCGTTCTCTCATGTCACGCGACCGTCGTCCTGTCTATCGGTCCATCTTGCAGAAATTTCCCACGCAGCCGTTTAAATAGTAGTCGCGGGTATATCCACGTGATCTTCGTAAACCTAATGCTCAAAGCTCACATCACCCTCGCGAACCTCTCTGTAGATCCAGTGTACTTCGATACTGTATTTTGCTGACAGTCAATGCGGAACTCTGCCTTCGTTCCTCGTTCAGGAGAGAGAACGGCGAGGAAAAGTGCGAGCTGCAGCTCGTTCCGTTGACGTATTCGAGAGAGGAACGAAATGTTGCGCGGTGAGAGGCCGGCACTCGACTGTTCGAATGCACAGTGGATTCGCAACCTGCTCCGGAATACCTGTCTGCCCACCACCGGATAGACCATCAGGTGTCCGAGGTTTATTCGGGGGTATATGAAGGTTTATTCGGGGGTATATCCCGTCGGATCATGATCTGAGTGAAGACGTCTGGAGGAGGAACCTCCGTTATTTTTTTGAAAAACTCTGTGGGTGGAAAGAGAATGACGAGGAAAATTATCAATACTGAATTACCTCACTTATTAAAGATCAAGAAGTAAAACAAACTAATCTACGTAGCCAAACGTAGACGACGTGGCGATAGAAAACGTGAAGTGAATGCGGAACTTGGTTGCCAAGCAGCAATGACTTTGAGATAAATTATATATTACTTCCTGTATGTTTTTTTCAATTCGTTAATTTCGTCTTTTTTACTTTTGGACAGCTCTTATTTCTCGAGTCTGTGATAGACATTCAAGTATGTACTGAAAACATATTACTAATTACATATTAATAAAAAGTTTTGATATTTTTTCTAGTAATTTATTCAGAATATTGGCTTTTATAAATCAAATATCGGAATCACAATATTTTACGAAATATTTCTACATGAATTTCTTGTATGTACATTTAAAAATAATCCTTAAGAATAATCCATAATACAACTCTGATGAAAAAAATTCTGATAATATCATACAATTTTTAAGAACATTTTTGTATTTTAAATTAAGTAGATTTCTGAAAAAAATATCTTAATCTTCTTCAGAGAGAAAAAAAATCTTAAAAATCTTACAGAATGTTTCAGAATTTTTTTCATAAGAATTTTAGAAAAAAATGTAGACTTTCTCATTACTTCTAAAGTCTAAAAATTTGTACAAAAAATTTGAGAAATTTTTTAAAAAGTTATAGGATTACAGAAATTTTAATAAATGCTAAAATTTATATAAAAATTAATAAAGAATTATTTAAAAAGTTCTAAAAAATATTCTAAAAAATTATCTTCAGGGAATTATGAACTTACTTTATATCTAATATATTATGTAATGAAGTGTATGTATAAATATGTGCTGGCTTGAAATTAAATAATTCACATATTATATTAAAAGTCTAATTTAGCGAAAGTCTAATTTCGCTCACTAAATCTTAACTTACAACATTGTCTTTCAGATCTCATTTCTTCTTAAATGAATTATGTTTGTTAAATCTAGCGATCGTAAAACTATATAAGGGCGAATCCTCTAACTAAATAAATCGACTCGACTCATATTTACCCTTTTGTGGAATTTTTTATAAATTTTCATAGCTCATTTGGTATGCAGAAATCGTACTCGTCGCACTTTGTATTACGGCCTACTTTTGCTTAATTCAATGCGACAAACGAGATTACGAAATTACCATCAGAACGTCTCTATCATCTGTATACAATAAAACAATCAAATGTTACACAATACCAACGCATTAATTGTCTTAAATATGCTACTAGTTCAGAAGTATTTTTTCACGCAAGTGTTTTTCAAAACATTTTATTTCTTTTCTCTCGTCTCATAACATCTCTCATTTCTTCTCTCCATATTAGAAACCTTCGTCATAAAATTTATTGCGCGATGCCATGTGGTTAGTTACGCCATTGTTACTATTAAGCCCATCATAAGTGAACAAAGTGGGATTGACGCTTTTACGGTCACAAATTACGGGGTCAGCGACAATTTATTGATGTGACGACGACATTACACAAAAGCGTCTGGCGAAGGAGGGACAGAAAAAGAAAGAAAAAGAGAGAGGGAGAGAGAGAGAGAGAGAAAGGGAGGATGGGGAGAGAGAGAGAAAGAGAGAGAAAGAGAGAAACCCCGGGCGCATAATGACAGTGAAAGGATCGTGACTTTGCCATTGGCTGCGAGGGAAACCGGCGCTATTATATGCGATTCGTGCTGGGCTCGCGATCGGCTGTTCACCTATGACAGTCGCAAAATAAGCAACTCGTATCGAAACGGAATTTCCGGAGATTAAATGTTATCCACGTGAAGTCGATTCCCCTATGAGGATTATGAAGACAAGCGTTTAATTTATGGCAATTATTCTTAGAACTCCACGTAGAATAATGGCATTATATAGACTGAGAGGATACTTTTCCTGGCATTATAAATATTCTCCTTTATCTCTAACTTTCATAAGAAAGGATAAATGGAAAAATTTCTATAGCCTTCAACATTCTATCGTGCAATTTCCTTCGCGCAATTTCCTTCCCTAACGACTCTTATATATTTCTATAAGGCTACAACGAGAAGATCGTTGACTTTTATCATCGATCTCATTGTGAGCAAAATTTGAAACTAGTATAATTTCAGCGATTTTTTATTAGTTTTCTACTCTTTATCATGCTACGGATAGGACAGAATTCGTTCTTACGATACTTTCCGTAAACAAGAGATTTTTCATTTAGATATATCTCGCGAAATAATTATAAATAATTTCAATTATGTCAACGAAATTATACTTACTTCAATCCTTAATTGAGAAAAAGTGAATACACGTGGATTTTATTGGTTCTTTATATGAAATTTGTGTTGTGTGTGTGTTCCATGTTGCGACAATTATCCGTGGTAAGAATCTTAGGTTTGTTAGTGATTAGTGCTTTCGTATCGTCCGGACATAGCGTGACCCTGAAAAAAAAAAGGAAAAATGGCAGTCGATTACGTAATTCTATCTAGCAATTGCATCTAATAATTATGTAGTTATCTCTGCGCAATTATATAAGTAATTACGCTGTTTAATAATTAATGCAACTAATATGTATATCTATCAAATTCTATAAATGTCAGCAACTCGTTTATTGCGCCGTTCCAACTTATTTCCTTTCATCGCTGTAAAAATATTCGCGCATAATAAAAATTGCACGGGAGATAAGCTGGAGCGGCTATAAAGCCGAGAAGAAGTTATAAAGATGCGAAGTTATAAACGTGCGAAAGAATAAGAGAGATTTACAATTATTTTCTTAAGAATGTGCTAGATGTATAAGTAAAATATTTGTAAAAAATGATTGAAATTGGAAATTTCTATTTTTTGATAAAAATAATTAATATTACATATATAATGAAACAGTTCAATAAGGTTAACAGATTTAGCATTTAATAATATAATTTTATAGTAAGTTTGAATGAAAATTTTACCACATTTTATCTTTAATACACTAATTTACAAAAAATTATTTTTTTTATTTTCAACCATGTGTTTCTTATAGATTGTTCAATGCTCAAAAAACAATGCTTTAAACTAAATTTCATTAGAACGTCAGATTTTTTAAATAATCGAAGTTAATATGCAAAAATTTTTTTTGCGACATTGATATTTTTTTCTAAAAAAGTTTAAATTATCTTATTAATATTTCATCAGACATTATAAACGTATTATTCATTCTTTATAAAATGTATTTTTTTAAATGTCAATATTTTACCAAAAAAGTTGTTTAACTATGTTATGAATGATTTAAATACACACAGGGTTTTTCTATAACAGCAAATTTTCTGTCTATGACAATAAAATCATATACAATTATAATTTCTAATTTATTGTTATTGATATACATATATAGATTATAAATTTTGAAAACATTTTTTTTGAAATTTTTTTGAAGATATTCGAGATGAACAATTAAAATGAGACATTTTGTGTGTGTGTGTGTGTGTGTGTGTGTGTGTGTGCGTGTGTGTATTTTTATGTGTGCATATATGTAGTAGAATTTATCATGATAAATTACACTATGTATGCGTAACCATAAACTAGAAATTATATATATATGAGTTCATTATCATAGGCAGAAACTTTACTATTAAAAAAACTGTATTTAAATTCTTTATAATATAGATAAACAGTAAATTATCGAAATTAAAAAAATGCATTATATGATAAATAATACATTAATGACTTCTGATTATAATTTCAAGATAACGTTAAATTTTTTTCACAAAAAACATCAAATATTGCAAACAATCATTCTTTGCACATTAAACCTCGCAATCACTTTGGAATACAATAAAGAAAAATTTGTAATTTTTTCTTAATTCTTTCATTTTGTTAAAAAAATATGTGTAATATATCTTTAACCCTTGCATTCGAAATGTCACGTGTTCAAGAATTCTTATGACATACGATTCCGATCTTTTTCACTAGATATTACTTCTTCGACAGCAAGCCGCGAGGTAAGCAGAATTTCTTACCCATGATCAGTCTCCAAGTTTTTTACAGTCAGCATGTCGATATAAACCCGTGGCGTATGGAACAGTCTCCATGTCAGTGGGTTCCAGACTCGGGTCTCATATTTCCAGATAATTTCCACTGAGTGCGGCTTCCCGACAACGTCACCGGGCAGTACGATGGTGTGCGTACTACCAGGCTCGTAGTACTTCGAGGTTGGACTCAGCTGCATCTCTTCGGTCTTTTTACCGTTTACGCCGATCACACGTACAACGAATAACCCGACTTCTCCGCCGTGTAACAAACTTTCGTTCGTCTTTGAGATATTTATCGTCAACTTATAGTGAGCTTCTGTAATTTAGAGAAACGGTATTCCAATTATTTGAATTTTAGTTTCAGTTCATCCATAAAGATAAATGGATTGTGTGACCCGCGTTTAATTTCAGTTTTACAATAAATACTTCTCTGCCAGCTTTAAAAGGCATAGTCGATAAGTTGATTTAAATTTTGGTAGATATATATAAAGAACTTTACTAGTCTTTACTAGTCATATGGAAAAATCAATTAA